TATTAGAAAAAGTAAGAGTCCTTGGTCTTGCTCAGCATTTTATGTCAATAAACCCGCTGAGATTGAGAGAGGTACTCCCAGACTTGTCATCAATTACAAACCTCTCAATCAAGCCCTTCAATGGATTAGGCATCCTATCCCCAATAAGAAAGATCTTCTTAACAGACTCAATTCTGCAAAGATATTTTCGAAATTTGATATGAAATCTGGATTTTGGCAAATCCAAATTTGCGAAAGTGATAGGTACAAAACTGCCTTTACTGTTCCCTTTGGGCATTACGAATGGAATGTTATGCCCTTTGGCCTAAAAAACGCCCCTTCTGAATTTCAAAAAATCATGAATGACATTTTTAATCCTTATTCAAAATTTGTCATCGTTTATATTGACGATGTTTTAATTTTTTCTCAATCCATTGATCAGCATTTTAAACATATAAATGTTTTTATCAATGTTATTAAACAAAACGGCCTCGCCGTTTCAAAATCAAAAATTAGTCTTTTTCAAACTAATATCAGATTCCTTGGACATAATATTCACCAAGGTACTATTATTCCTATCAGCAGATCCATTGAATTTGCTGATAAATTTCCTGACAGGATTCTTGATAAAACCCAATTGCAAAGGTTTTTAGGTTGCCTCAATTATGTAGGAGATTTTATCCCCCACCTAAATAACATTATCAAGCCTTTACATGATAGGCTTAAAAAGAATCCTCCCTCTTGGACTGACGATCACACTAATGTCGTTAAAGAAATCAAAACCAAAGTCAGGAAGATAAATTGCTTATATCTTCCCATCCCTCAAGCCTTCAAAATCGTTGAAACTGATGCTTCAGACATAGGTTATGGAGGCATTCTTAAACAAAAAATTGAGTCTCATGAGCATATCATTGCATATACTTCAAAACATTGGAATTCTGCACAACAGAATTATTCTACTGTAAAAAAGGAAGTTTTGGCAATTGTTTTATGCGTCTCAAAATTTCAATCTGATTTATTAAATCAAAAATTTTTAATTAGGGTAGACTGCAAGTCTGCCAAAGAAATTTTACAAAAGGATGTTAAAAATCTTGCCTCAAAACAAATCTTTGCGAGATGGCAAGCAATTTTAAGTGTTTTTGATTTTGATATAGAATATCTCAAAGGCACTTCAAACTCCCTTCCTGATTATCTTACCCGTGAATATTTACAGGATAAGTAAGATGCCTAGAAAGGCAGTTACCCCTTCTAGGGGAGGAACCACTAGAGGCGGCAAAGTCAGATTAGCTCTGACTTTAAACAAATCAAAATCACAATCTGCTTCGGCAGACCCAAATACCTCTTCTTCTGGGTCATCTACTCCCATTGAGTCATCGACTCAAAAAGCAATCCAAATTGTTGAGTCATCAACTCAGCAATCTGGAACTCCAAAAGAATCCTCTAAAAAGACTGATTCTGTTGTAAAAGCCACCAAACAAACCAAAGCAGACTATGCTATCCCAATTAGTACGCTTTTAGCTGTCCAACAAGGAAGCTTGAATAGCCTACCAAATAAATCTTGGGCAGACATTGCCTCTGAAGAAGAAATGGAATTAGATTTAGCCAGCCTAAATACTATAATCCAGTCCTTCAACCAAACCCAGAAAACAATAACCAATAGACCAGAAGGGACCCTTGACCCTCAAAAAGGAAAACAAAAAACTTCAAGTCCAAACCATTATATAGCCAAAGGAAAATTCTCCTCAGTTATACAAATGGAACCTGAATTTTGGGACAAAAACCCATACAAGGCAATTACCAAAGTTTTCCCACCAGGGTTTCATTTCAGGCCATATCAGGCTAATAAAACTAGACAGTTTTATGAGTTTATCTTAGTGGATTCAGATTCTGTTTCCATCAAACACTACAAAGACCACAAAGACCCATCAGTCACAACCCATTCGACAATCCAGATCCTGAAAGCCTTAACTCCAAAGGCTTTTGGAAAAAATTTAAATTCTTATAAAAAGTTTTCCCAACCATTTGATCCAGCAGGATACAATTATTGGGATTACATTGACGCTTGGACAAGAACTTTCTGGTTCCAGAATAAACTTAACCGACATTCTTGGTTAATATATTTTAAAAAGAATCAGAATTATGACTTTCCAAATTGGTTCCTCCAATGGTGGGATTATTTTGGGCCAATAGAAGAAATCCTTCCCACCTCTGTCAAGGAAGGATACAAAATCTACAAAGGTAGATATCTGCGAGAATCAAGAATTCCAGCAGATCTTAAATACTTCTCTGACTTTGCCCTGGCATGGGTATTCTCATGGCAATACAGATATGGTAAGACAGAGAATGAAGACACTCTCCCTCTATTGCATAGGTATTCCTTTGTAAAATGGTGGAATCAATTCAATGCAGATCATGCCGGACCAGAAGGAGTTGCTGAATATTTTGGGAAAAATCCCAAATTATTAAATCTTGCTGACCCAGCAACATTTCAATTCCTTAATCAGAAATCCAAAATTGCAGCATTCTTATCAGGATGCGACACCAAAGAAAAAATGAAGAAAAATCTTCAAGATGTTCTCCTGTTATTGCAAAGCCAAGAAGAAGGAGAAACTTCTAACCAAGATGCCAATATTGAAGATAATCAGAATGAAGATGATTGTTTCGGTATTGATATCCAAGATCTTTAATAACCGGTACTATAGTGAATAGTTCCAGTCACCAACCGGAACTGTAGAAATAGTACTTTAAAAATTTCTATATAAGGAGGCCTCGTCTATATTGTGAGGTACCCTTTCATTTAGCAACATAAGAGAGATTTAAGAGAGAGAAGCTCTGAGAGAAAAAACTTCTTGTAAGCCTTCTTCTTCTTTGAGATCTTTCAAATAAAATTTGCTGTTTCAAATTATTTTCCTCTCTTCTCCCTCTTAGCCGGTCCTGTTCGGACTACCGTCGCTCCGGCTTTCTTCTCTTCTCCCTCCACTAGATCTGTGTTGGTTATACCACCGTTCTAGTTTCTTTATGTTATAACTGTTTTACATACTGCACTTTTAAATTTCTGCATCTCATTTAGTAGTCCTGCTACTGCCTACTTTCCTTTCAGTCGTTTATTCTACCTGTATTGGGTTATCTGGTATATATATATATATATATATATATATATATATTTAAAAAAACCATCTACTGTTAATTATTTAACCAATATTTAGGTTAGCTTCAAAAAATACTTTTGTTCTCATACAAACGAAGCTACAAATTAACCTTAAATTAGCTTATGTTGATATGGGTCTTTAACACCTTTGGATAAGAATCGCTACACTTAAGTATTTGATTACAGAAAGTCTAGTATTTGATTTCTATTTATTTTTTATTGATAGGTATTTTGTAAATGCGACTATAGTCTTATTTGCATGAACTGGTAAAGAAATTTTTATATAAAGAAATTAATATATAAGAGTGAATCAATTTTTTTTTATAAGTTAAAAATAATTTATCTTTTCAAATTTAAAAAAAGTTAAATATGAATGATTCTCATAACTCCTAAAAAAAATAAACAAATGTAAATTGTTTATAATTTATAAAAAAATTATTTTTATACTATTTTTAAATTTTTTTAAAAAAGATTTATCGTTTTTAAAAAGATTTATCGAAACAAGACGTCTATGTCGCTCATTAGTTATTCTACTTCAAATTGTATATTTTTATTTCTAGTATAAAATGTGCAATTTTTATTTCACCTTTTATAAACAAGCTAGTAATTTTTAGAATATTTAAAAATTGATTTATATTTAGCGATTTTATAAAATTTTTTTATCTTAATAAGTAATTATAATTTCAGTTTTATTTTAAAATTTTTCAAAACAACTTCACAAGAAAAGCCTCAATTAGATGATTTTCAAGTTCTGATTTTTTTCATAATCTTAACTAAAGAATTGAAAAAGTTGAAAAATAATTATTATTTTTAAAAAGGGATTTGTTGATGAAAAGAAACAGGGTCATAATTTAGAATATATATATATATCATTGTTGGGCTTATCCTTAGAATGGATCATTCCGAGTTTATAATTATATAAGGAAAAGAAAATAAGAAAGAACAATTCCTAATTGCCCTAACAACCGTGATATAATCTTATTCTTCTCTATGTATTCACATTTCGTGGTAAAGATTAGGCACACTTACCATATATGAAAACATGAGACGAACAAAAGTCATGTTTCAATGGTCTTAAAATACTGACAAGTTGTATCCTTTTTAGCCTTAGCGAAATTGATTATATTTCTTGGCCCAATAATTTAATCCCCTACGACTAACTCCACATCCATGAATTCATCCTTCAATATATTATTGCAAATTTGAAATTGACTTGCGATACATTAATTGCCCAAGAAAACTTGTAGAAAAAGAGGAGCAGGTTGAAATAAAACAAAAATAAGAATCCTAGGAAGCATCAGGGCCTGTAGAAATCTTGCACATCCTAGTAAAATTCATGCTTTGTTTCACAAAAATTGACTTGAATATAAAATATTGACCTACTGTAAGTTAAAAGAAGGATGATTGGTATGTTCTGCACCAGATAACTTGTTTTCCTCTGTTTCGTCACCAAACAATTGGGAGAATGAAGTTCATTAGATTGACTTTCCAGAATTTCAGCAGAAGAAACTTTCATGGCACTGCTGAAAGAAGATCAAATTGGAGGGGTCTTATTGAGAAAGAATTAGAAAGTGGAATAATCCCTAAAGAAAATGAGTCAGTTTGCATATACAGGGTTCCACCAAACATGTTGAGGGTCGATTCCAAAGCCTACATACCCAACAACATCTCAATAGGCCCTTACCATCACGGAGCACCGCACTTGCAAGACATGGAAATCCTGAAAAAGAGGTTTTTTAATCGCCTCTTCAATCCAAATGGTCTAAATGGAGCCAAATTAGACGAGGCTTTCAAGTTTCTTGAGGAGCAAGAAGCCAACATTCGAAAATGTTACATGGGTGAAATCAAACACAACAGTGATGAGTTTCTCCATATGATGCTAATTGATGCCTCTTTCATCATTCAGCTCTTGAGGGATTTATCACACAACCAATTCAAACAAGTCCCTTCCCTCAGTAGATGGATGCTACCTACCATTCGCCGCGAATTGATAATGCTTGAAAACCAGCTTCCACTCTTTGTTTTGAACAAATTGTTTGAGCTCACAAATGACTCTAGTCCTGATCAACCATCCACGAATCTGAATGATCTTGCCTTTAGATTCTTCTACCGTTTGCTTCAATCAGACTCGAGCCATATTCCAGAATGTTACCAAGCTTACAAGTTTGAAATAGAGCACGTGCTTGATCTTCTTAGGTACAACATTAGACCCCCCAATGTTAAAGGGGAAGAAGTGTCAAGAGGAATTCAGAAGCAAATGATTCATTCTGCTACAGAACTGAAGGATGCTGGTGTGAAAATCAAAGTTGATGAGGACCGCGAATTGCTTGATATAACCTTTGGAAGGAAGTGGGGAGTATTAACGAGGGAACTAACAATCCCTCGTTTGCACATAAGCGATCATAGAGGGACAGTGTTTCGTAACATAGTAGCATTTGAAAAGTGCCACAAAAGATGCAACCCTGATGTAACAACCTACTTGTTTTTCTTCAACAGACTCATCAACTCAGAAGAAGATGTGGCTCTTCTTCATTACAAAGGGGTTCTTCATCACTCTTTAGGCAACGATGAAAGGGTGGCTGATCTAATAAACGATATTGCTAAAGAAATACTTGCTGATGTGAATGAGTCATACTTGTACAAAGTGGTGAATGAGGCTAATAAGTACTTTGATACCGCATATGCAAAAACAAGAGCTTCAATAGTGCGAAACTATTTGACCAGCTGGGCTGTGGGAATCTCAACCGTTGGTGCTCTCTTGGCCCTTTATTTCACCTTCATACAGACAATTTGTGGATTTGCTGATGCATTTAAGTCGTTGGAGAGCAAAAGGTTCAGTGATATCTTCAGAGATGCTTTGGTTCTCCCATTTCGTGACTCTCCTACTCCTAATTCTGCCGTGCTGGTGGACACAGATGCAAAAACATGATTATAAATGTGGATATCTCTGTAGGAGACTTCATGATTTATGTGTTGTTATATTTAGCAAATGCACTCTTCTAATCGTTTAAGGCAGTTTGAATTTATCAAGCTTAGACCTTTAAAAAAAAATTAAGACTTAATGGCACTTTTAGTTCGGACATTTCATTTTAATTATTCACATTTAATCTCCTATTGTATGCAAATTATGTCATGCCATGCGATTATATTACTCTGTACCCTGGAGTTCATATATAAATTATCCGTTATCATTTTTAAAAGTTTACGAACAAATATATATCTGCATATGTAGACGGAAAGAATTAATAAATTGAAATTCATGATAAGAAGTTTTATCATGATATATTACGAGTAAAACATTTTTTATAGGTTTTATTCCTCATAAATTTTAACAGTAATTTTTTTAAACTAAAACTTTGTACAAAAGATTTAGAATACAAAAATAATTTTAAGGATAATTATGAAGAATAATGACATGTTTTACCTCATTTTATATTATTTTAGTATATCATGTGATTGAAAAAATATATGTTAAGACTACTTTTATTTCTAAATTTATTGTATTTATGAATTGTTATTTCTACGAAGGTGTAATATGAGAATGTGTCCAAAGCATCTCCTTCATGTGCAGAAAATTTTAAAAACCAGGTGGGTAGCTAAGCCCACAGCTTTCCAAACTTGTTTTAAATAAAATGCACGTAACTTGTTTATGAAATTGTTTGGGATAAAGAAAATTTTCTAAGTTAAAAATCATCTTGAAGGAAACTACATTTCAAACATGTTTTGAGGGTCAAGAACGAGGTAAAGATAAACCTGAACATAAGAGAATATTGAAAGATCTTTGGTGGTAATTAAAAGGAACACATTTCGAGCTATTTTAGGAGATTTTTGTCATATTGTTGATTTTTCTCTAAACCGTTTGAAAGACAAGAAAATATTCTAAGACCACAAAACTAAAGGCTTTTTCGAGAAGTTTTTGAGGAGTTTTTAAGCCACTAACACCCAAAACTACTCGAAAAATAGAGCTGGCAAGAAAATATTCCAAATCCACAAAACTGATGGTTTTTCGAGGAGTTTTTGAGGAGTTTTCAAGTCCCTGACACCCAAAACTACTCGAAAAATAGAGCTGGTAAGAAAATATTCCAAGTCCACAAAACTGATGGTTTTTCGAGGAGTTTTGAGGAGTTCTCAAGTCCCTGACACCTAAAACTGCTCGAAAAAATAGGACTAACAGGAAAATATTCTAAGTCCACAAAAAACTGATGGCTTTTCGAGAAATATTTTGAAGAGTTTCCAAGTACCCGACACCCAAAACTGCTCGAAAAGCAGGAAGTGGTAAGAAAATATTCTAAGTCCACAAACATGGCTGAGCTCCAGATTTCCTCCAGAATTGCTCGAAAATAGAAATGAGTAAAGAAAATGTTCTAAGTCCACAAGACCAAGACAGACTCTCAAAACTCCAAAATGGCTCGAAAAGAGAAGTCAAGAAGAAACTATTCCAAGGCCATAACATTAAAAGAGTTTCCTAGGTTTCTCTCAGAAATACTCGAAAGATAGGAGCATTGAAAAATCCAAAAGCGGTTACCAGTAGTTATCAACATTCACCACTACGCAAAGGAGATTGTGGTGATCTTCATGTCTATAAATACTACAAAGCATTATTTCACAAAGGACGACTTTTTGCACCCAGACACTGCACCTAAACTCTCTGAGACGCTGAAATCCTGCACCGCGCCAGACACCAGCTACAAGGAGACCCACGGTGGCCGTTGTTCGCCGTTGTGAGGAGTCGTACGTTTACATTTCAGCATATTTACATTTCTATGCCTTTATTTTCTGCATTTTAATTCAAGTTCCTTCGTTTGTTTGCTTTTGTTCTTGTTTATGTAATTCATTTCTTATTTCATACTTTCTGTGATGAACCTCTACGTTTTGAGTCAATCCTGCACGTTTAATATTCACTATTCTTGCTAAATTGTTGAATTTACGCATCCATTTCACCGTTACGTTAACAACACATTTAAAAGAACCCAAAGAGGACTTAAATCCAATCCCCAGATTGATCTTTGGATTATTTGTTTACAATTGTCATTTTTCACCGTAAACAGAAATTAATTAAGTTTATTTATTGAAGACGAGCATAGTATTGGTTTTAATGCTATTTTTAGTTCAAAACTTCAAACACGTTTAGAATGGGTAAATGTTATAAATTTTAATGAGATTGTTAAACTAATTGTTCGCCGGTTATGCATAAGAATTGCAATTTTACATAATTGTGTGTCATGTATTTCTTTTACTGGTCTCCATAAAAACAACCACAATAATAAGAATACATTGTATATAAAGAATTCCAACATACCCAGCACCAAAACACTAAATTGATTTATAAGAAATCAACATCATACCTAAATATATTTATCACCATATCTAGATATAACATGAATGATGAAGATGGCAATTAGTTCCTCATAAGTGTGAGTTCTTCAACCCAATGTTGCAGAGAGAATGGTGGAGAGAGAAGTTGCTAACTGTTTAATATGAGCTATTACGAGTTTATAGCATCTGATAACACTGGAAACTTTGATAACCCTAGATATTTTAAATTTGCATTAGATGTTCTAACTATCACAATCATGGGCCACATAAGGCCCAATACCATGATGAAGGAGGAGAATTGCTTGATTAAAATGAAATAGTAGACAATCAAGCCCAATTTTCACAATTGATGAAATCTCTCAATAACTTCTAACATAAAGAAAAACTTGAGCAACTAAGTAACTTCTGGAACCTGATACTTAATCCAACTGCAAATCTAATAGTTAGACAGATAAAAAGTAAGTCACTTTTCTCGTGGGAGGTGGAGAGAAAATTATCAGGTTCAAAAGAGATGATAGAGGATAAAGAAGGATGTCAAAAATAAACTAATATTTCAAGTATGTGGTAAGATTGGTCATGTTGCGATTGTTTCTATGGGTTTTATAAATGTCAAACTTTTGAAGAAAAGCAAAAAATATATAACGCCTTCGTAGCAATGTTAATTTGATAATGGAGCTAGTAATCATGTTTTCAATGATCTTAATCAATTTGAAAAAAATTTAGAATATAGTAAGACTTTTGTAACAATGAGAAATTAAAGATACATACCTATAGTAGTGCAATTTTAGACACTTAACAAAAATTACCTGATTTGCAAGATGTCCTTTATGTACTTAAAATTACAAGAATTTATTTATTGAGTGTCTCCAAACTTATTCCTGATAATGATATTGCAATTGAATTTAATGCCAATGATTGTTTTGTGAAAGATAAGTGAACAGTTCAAATTCTACTAAAAAAATTAATAATGAGTTGTGTAAACATGTGTCAGTTTTCAACCTAGTAGTAGCTTGTGTGCCTACATTTTAGTTAAAGAAAGAGACTTGGACATAAAAAAAGTTCTAGATGACATCTTGAACAGCCGTCGTGTAAAAGTTTTTAAGAATGATAATTTATATTTTGTGAGGCTTGTCAATTTGGAAAATCACATCTTTTATCTTCCAACTCTTCTGTCTCTCATGCTCAGGAACTTCTTGAGTTAATTTACACTCGTATTTAGGATCTTACACCAATAAATTCTTGTTTTGATTTCAAATATTACGTATTATTTATTGATGATTTTAGTCACTTCACTTAATTGTATCCTTTAAAACAAAAATCTAAAACTGTACAAGCTTTTACTTATTTCAAAAGGCTATCTAAAAATCAATTTAATAGAAAGATCAAAGCTGTTCAATGTGACGGAAGTGAATTTTCTTGAATCAGGTTTTCAACTGAAATTGTCTTGGCTTTATACTTTACAACAAGATGGTGGGGTCAAGAGGAAGTATAGACATATTGTCGAATTCGACTTGACTTTGCTAGGATGCCACTGCAATTTTGGTAGAAAGCCCTTGCCTACATCAATAATTGAGAACAAAAATCCCTATTCTCTTCTATTTAACAAGGAAACAGGGCTACAACAATGTAAAGTCCTTTGAGTGTTCTTGCTATCCATGCCTTAAGCCATACAATAGATATAAGTTGGACTTCATACCACAAAATGTGTCTTTCTTAATTATAACAACTCTCACATAGGGTATTTAAGTGCATAAACTCACATTGAAGAATATCTATCTCAAGTCGTGTGATTTTTAATGAGCAGAACTTTTCCTTCCATGATAGGTTCCTCAATACAAGAAAATTAGTAGAAACATCTACTAAACCTCATTTCATTTTCTAGCCTTTTGTCTCTGCAGGAAACCCTTAATTAATAACATTAACCAGATAGCCATGGAACAATCATTTCAGATAATTCAAACCAAAACACAAAACATGATCACTAGCAATCAAGCAGCAACTCAAAGGCCATACTGAGAGCTCAAACTCAGTCAATGATCAACAAATTGAAGCAAAATTAACAGACATATCAATTAGGACAAAAGCTAAATATACTACATAAGGAACAAGCACTACAGGAGCCAACACACAACATGAAACAATAGATGTCAATCCAATTGCAATTCCAAATACTCACAAAATGTGCACTAGAAGCATGGCAGAAGTTCACAAGCCCAAACTTCCCTGAACAATTGAGAAGCAAAAAAATTGAGAAAGAACTAGAGACAATACATGAAGCTCTAGTATCTTCGTGGAACAACAAACCACTCTATGCACATAAAACCATCAACTGATATCAATCTGGTAGGATTTTCTGACGCAGGACCACTTCATATGACAGAAAATGAACAATTGGTCACTGTGTTTATTTTGGAAAATCCCTCGTTACTTGGTTGTCAAAGAAGAAAAACTTATATAATCTGGCCATAGGACCTTGCTGACTTAGCAACTAAAGTGATATTGGTTAGATCATTACTAGAAAAAATAAATTTACCTATGTTAATGAAACCAATTCTATGACGTGACAATTTGAATACAACGGCACTTGCTTCCAATTTTATCATGCATGCTAGA